TTCTAACACACACAGGGCTAAAATTGAGGGCCTTCCTTTATTTTCTCTTTGCCTTCTGGCCCAGAAAATAGTTTTTCTAGCATATTCCTCTGGCATTTGATATATAGATGATCCCTTAGTGAGGGATATGAAATCCATAATTTCTAAGGCAACCAGAAGCTTCACCGTGTAAACAAATCTTGGCCACCTTCTCCTGCCCATGCTGAATAGTTGCACTTGGAAGATATTTTCCCATCAAATCAACATCTAATCTGGGCCTGGGGGCACCTGGGTGGCTCGGTTGGTTGAGCACCCAACTCTTGATCTCAGCTCAGGTCTTGATGCCAGGGTTGTGGGATCGAGCCCCACATCGGGCCCTGTGCTGACAGCATGGAGCCTGCTTGGAATTCTCTCTCTCCCTCTCTCTCTCTGCTCCCCCCCCCCCCCCCCCAATAAATAAATAAACTTAAAAAAATTTATAATCTGGGCCTGGACTCTATCGATTATTATTCTGTTTGACTTCCATTTTTATGTTTCATCTCAGACGAGCCTTCCCTTAGAATGCCAATTCCCTAAGTTTCTCTGACATGTGCCCTCAAGGTATAGGCAGGACCTACTTGCCACTTATATTAACTGTCTCTGAATCAAACTCATGTACCAGTGACTTGAATATATTATGCTTATCTTCCTGGTCTTCCCCTCTCAAATCTGTCCCCATTCTTTGTGACTACTTGGTAGAACCACCCCGGTCTTCAAAAGGTTATTCTTCAATGCTTTTAGTGTGGATTCTTCATCTGTTCTTTTCAGAGGAGCCTCTCAGTTCATTCTTGAATTTGGTTTCTTAGGAGCAGGGACTCAGAGATTTTACCTCTTTTTTTTTTTTTAATGGGCCTAGTCATGACTCCTAAACTAATAATAATTAAAAACATCTTTACCTTTTCTAATACCCTTGTTACGAACAATCAGCCCCCCCACCCACCCAGTATACCTCCTATTCCTTTGGCATATATCCATTCTTGTTGCCAAGAGCTTATGTTGATCTTCCTATATGTCCAGTCTCTCCACTGAACTCTCATTCTGTTTCTACTGTGGATTGTTTGTGTCCTCCCCAAATTCATTTTAGATCCTAATGGCCAATAAGATGGTGTTTGGAAGTGGTCATCTTTGGGAGGTGACGAAGTCATGAGGATGGAACTCTTCTAAGTGAGCTTAGTGCCCTGTCAAAAAAGGCCCCAGAGAGCTCCCTTCCACCATGTGAGATCATAGTGAGAAGATGGCCGTCTATGGACCAAGAAGCGAGCTCTCACCAGACACCAAATTTGCCAGTGCCCTTATCTTGGACTTCCCAGCAATCAGAACTATAAATTTCTGTTTTTATAAGCCACCCAGTCTATGGCATTTTGTCATAGCAGTCTGAACAAAGAGAGTTTCCTTTAAAAGTTTTTGCTCTTATAGTCAGACTAAACCATAAGTTTCAAATTTCCCCTTTATTGTCTGAAGGGACTTCATTACTGGGGATGGAGGGCCCAGGCACAGGCCTTTGAGTTGTTTTTGTACCTCAATTCCCAAAATAGCACACTCTCTTTACTTTAAGAGTTCCCATTCCTGTATATGAGCTTATTAATAAAATTTAGCATCTTTTTATCAGTGAGATTCGCAGTTTGGATCTCCAAAATCTGTAGCCATGGTCAGGACTGGTGTAGTAAATCCAGAGCCACTTGAAGCTACATGATAAAGCTGATTTTTAAGTCTATGGATGAGCCACATGAATATTAGCCACAATTTTCTCTCTTGGGCTCAAAACAATATAAAGTATAATATTTCAGACAGTTGACCTAGCACTGCATACTTAGAGCTGCCAATGATGATGTAAAGCCGGAACCTTTTCTACCATCCAAGTTATTGTCATCTCTTGCCTGGAGACAAGAGATAGTCTTGTCTGCAATAGTTCCCAACTCATCTCCCTGCCACCATTTTTGCTCCCTAATAGTCTGTCTTCCACATAGGTGCCAGAATAGCCTTATATAAAGTCACTAAAAACTTACATGAGGTCAAAAAAAAAATATCAAGAAATGAAAAGATAAGCCATAGAATGGGAGAAAGTTTTTGCAGATCATATGTCTGAGAAGGGCCAAGTATCTTGAATATAAAAAGAGCTCTTACAGCTCAACAATAAAAAGACAAATAACCCAAGAAAAAAATGGACAAAGGACTTAGGTAGACATTTCTCCAAAGAAATATACAAACAACTAAAAAGCACATGAAATGACTCTCAACATCATTAGTCATTAGAGAATTGACAAATCAAAAGCACAAGGAGATGTGACTTTATACCTACTAGGATGGCTCTAATCACAAAAACATAAAATAACAAGTTTTGGCAAGGATGTGGAGAAATTAGAATCCTCATACATTGCTGTTTGGAATATAAAATGGCTCTTTCTCAGAGCAGCCACTTTGGAAAGGAATTTGGTAGTTCCTCAAGAAGTTACATACAGAATTACACACAAAATGATCTAGCAATTCTACTCGTAGGTATATACCCAAGACAAATGAAAGCACATATTCATAAAAAACTTGTACACAAATGTTCATAGCAGCATTATTCATAAAAGCAAAAAACTGAACCTGCCCAACTGTCCATTAACAGATGAATGGATAAAATGTGGTCTATACATAAAATAGAATATTATTCTGTCATAAAAAGGAATGAAATACTATTGCATGCTACAACATGAATGACTTGAAATATTATGCTAAGTGAAAGAAGGTTGGCACAATAGGCTCTATGATTCCATTTATGTAAAAATGTCCAGAATAGGAAATCCATAGATTTGAAAAGCAAATTACTGTTTTCCCAGGGCTGGGGAAAGGGGAGTAACTGCTAACAGGTACGATGTTTCTTTTTGGAGTGGCAGGAATGCTCTGGAATTAGTGATAATGGTTGCACTCATTATGACATGCTAAAAACAATGAATTGTACACTTTAAAATGATGACGTTTGTGTTATATGAATTATATCCTTTTTAAATGTTTATTTATTTTGGGACAGAGAGAGAGAGAGAGAGAGCACGTGCAGGTGGGGGAGGGGCAGAGAGAGAGGGAGAGAGAGAATCCCAGGCAGGCTCTGCATTATCAGCACAGAGCCCGACCTGGGGCTTGATCCCATGAACTGTGAGATCATGACCTGAGCCAATATCAAGGTTGGACACTCAACTGACTAAGCCACCCTGTGAATTATATCTTAATTAAAAAAAATACTAGTTAGGAAAAAAAAACTTAGATCATGATTTTCCACTGGTTAAACTCTTCAATGACTTCCTATGGCACTTAGGTAAAATTGAACCTCCTTACCTAGCCCTACAAGGCCCTATATGGTATGACCCCTGCCTGCCTTTCTTATCTCACCCCCCATCACTTCCCTCACACCCATCCTCCATTTATATTACACTGCAGGTTAACTGGCCTTCCACTTCTGGCTCAGGTCTTTACACTTAATCTTCCTCCTGTGTAGAATATTCTTTGCCCAGGGCTTCTCATGGCTGCCTCTCATCATAGGGTCTCAGATTGTCACCTCTTCATCAAGGCTTCCCTTACCATCCCCATCACTGCCTTATTTTCATCACAGCACTTATCACGATCTGAAATTATTTGTTTAACATAAATTCTGAGAGCAGAGATTTTGCCTGCCTAGTTCACTGCTATCACCCAAGTTCTAAGAATAATGCTTGACATAGAGTAGATGTTTATAATATATTTTGGATGAATGAACAGGACCTAATTTGTGTACATCAGATATTTAGACATTTTGGTGGTATTTGGGGGCTGTCAGAGCTGCACCTGATTTGAATGAGAACCTCAGGGGGCCCCATTGAGGCCAGGTGTACAGTATCTAGGGAGGGGAGAAAGAAACAGGAGGAGTGGAGAAATGTGCCTCATCATCACTTCCAAATACCCAAAGACAAAATTTTGTAGAAACCATGATAAAACTGCCCTAAGTTCATGAAATGAGTTATAGAAATCTTGCAGTGTAATTCACGGTTCTGTTTATTCCCTGAGAGGAGATTTGGGGCATACATGCTTGATATGAATTCACTGGAGGACATCAAAGGGAGGATGACTTATGAGATAGCACCATGACTGTTCCTGTGATTGCAGCTCAGCCTAGTTTCTGGCTTGGGCTTTGATCCTGGAAGGAGGAGTAATAAAGACCACTGCTTCTGAGCACAAAGCACATCTGTTTTGGGGCCCTGGAAGAGGGTAGGCCAGGAAAGAAGGGTGGGATGACAGCCATTAAGAATGGAATTAAGGTGGGGTGCCTGGGTGTCTCAGTGGGTTAAGCATCCAATTTCGGCTCAGGTCATGGTCTCATGGTTCATGGGTTCGAGTCCTGAGTCAAGCTCTATGCTGACAGCTCAGAGCCTAGAACCTGCTTCGGATTCTGTATCTCCCTCTCTCTCTGCCCCACCCACCTCGTGCTCTGTCTCTCTCTCTCAAATACAAATAAACATTAAAAAAAAAAGAATGGAATTAAGGAGTAAGCATGAATATGCCTATGTTGAGGAGGTGTCAAGGTAGTGGGAACCACAGGGCTGACCTTAGGAGCACAAATGAGGATGACGAGAGCCAGGAAAACACCCTCTGAAGCAGACACCCTAAAGTTTCTATGAAGGATCTGAGGACTGAGATCTCTGCATTTTGCTAGTACAGACTGAGCCACACGCTGCTATGTCATCAGTATGACCTAGGGAAATGTGGTTACACGTATAACATAGGGGAAAATACTCATATTCCCTCATTCAAATGAGGAACATATTCTGCTTTTATCCTGAGATCATCAGTGAATCATATATGACATAAACTAAATGGAAGCAACATTGGGAGAAAATCCATCTGTCACTGTATCTTTTTGTGAGTCTAATCATTAGGCAAAAGGAAATGCTTACCTCTAAACTAGGCCAGGTGGAAAAAGGATATACAGATAATTTAGATTTAGACGATGAAATGAGGAGAGAACTTACTGAGGCAGGAAAGAAAAGGCTTGGAGGGATGAGAAGGTGAGGTGATGCAAGGAAATAAAAGGCTAGTTCCAACCCTGTAAAATGGAAAGAATAGACGTGTAAGCTTGAAAATACTTTATTTAAAATCACTTTGAACAATTACATATAAAGTATTGAAAATAAAAGTGATTTTTAGATGGCTTCAATATAAGAAAGTCAGAACATGATGTGGCCCAGCTTGCCCAGACTCACTGAGGTAATATCTAAGGATGTCTTAGATTATGAATTAAATGCATTTCAGGCTGTAAGAAGGAACCCAGTACTGGCTTGTGCAGATTTGAATTTCCAGAACAGCCTGCCGGGTGGCCTCCACTGTCAAGCCATCTTGCACACTCCATTGCCTAACTAATCTGCCTGAAACAAGCCTGTAATCACTATAAAACCTTCAGCACCTTCCCATGTCTTACTAAATCCACTCTGAGCTCTGCCTGGCCCTCTAGTCCGACCTTACCTGTTCCGTCTTCCTTCTTCCTTTCTCTCCAGCACACACCCCTCTCTCAGACCTGTCTCTCCACTTGTCCTGCTTCGGGACCTTTGTCCAAGAGGCTGCTTTGGTCAGAAACATATGCTGTCTCTTATCTGCCTGGCCAGATGACATCCTTCTGTCCAGGTTGAGCTTCCTTTTCAATTCCTCCATGGATCTTTCTTGATTGTCCCTTTCTTTGAACTCCTAAAACACAACTGTTCAATTATGTACTGCTATATATTAGTCATTATTCTTTCTTTTTTGAAAGACAGAGAGAGAGAGGGAGAGAGAGAGAGAGAGAGAGAGAGAGGGAGAGAGAGAGAGAGAGACAGAGAATGAGTGGGGGAGGGGTAGAGAGAGAGGGGGACAGAGGATCTGAAATGGGCCCTGCACTGACAGCAGAGAGCTGATGCAGAGCTCAGACTCATGAACTGAGAGATAGTGACCTGAGCCAAAGTCGGATGCTCACCCAAATGAGCCACCCAGGTGCCCCATATTAGTCATTATTCTTTTACATGTTAGCACCAGGAAATGAAGGAAAGAGAAGAGAGAAATCAATAACAGAGAAGTGTGAAATCCCCATTTTAGATTCCAATTTGGAGGTGGGACTTTGGCAGAGGATCGAGGAAGTACAGCAGAGTGGTCCCAGAAGCCTTTGGTGCAGGAAAGGAAGCAGAGACAGTTGTAATGAGCATCCTGCTTTCCATATCACTTGGCAGTAACATCTTTTTTTTTTTTTTAATTTTTTTTCAACGTTTATTTATTTTTGGGACAGAGAGAGATAGAGCATGAACGGGGGAGGGGCAGAGAGAGAGGGAGACACAGAATCGGAAACAGGCTCCAGGCTCTGAGCCATCAGCCCAGAGCCTGACGCGGGGCTCGAACTCACGGACCGCGAGATCGTGACCTGGCTGAAGTCGGACGCTTAACCGACTGCACCACCCAGGCGCCCCTTGGCAGTAACATCTTAAGTTTTAAGTTCAGCATCACGAGGAATAAGAAATTTAACCTGTGAATGTTCTAGATAACGGAAGCTTATCATGCAAATTATTGGGCCCCATTCCAGACCTACTGAATCAGAATCTCTGAGGTTGGGGCCCAGAAATCTGGGTTTTAATAGCACTCTAGGCAATTGTGATGCACAATAATGTTTAGAGAACCAGTGCTTTAGAGCATAAAACCTTAAACATTACTCACTATATAAAACTATTTTTTTAATGTTTATTTATTTTTGAGAGAGAGAGAGAGAGAGACAGAGTGAGACACAGTATGAGCAGGGGAGGGGCCGAGAGAAAGGAAGACACAGAATCTGAAGCAGGCTCGAGACTCCGAGCTGTCAGCACAGAGCCCGACACGGGGCTTGAACTCATGAACCATGAGATCATGACCTGAGCCGAAGTCGGACGCTTAATCAACTGAGCCACCCAGGTGCCCCGCATATAAAACTATTTCTATAATATATGGCAAACATTACTCACTATATAAAACAACTTCTTTAGCATATGACATACTTCCTTGCCTTCTGGAACAGAACAGGCTAAACACAAAGTGTTTGTTTCTTGTGGGGCCAGAGTCACTAGGACGAACATTACTTCTTGCCCAGTGTCATTGTAACAGGCAGCACACCAGACAGAAAACTCAGGCACCATGCTGTTAGGGCCCCAGCCAACCAGGTCATCTCATTGGAGCAACTCACAGCAACTGTCATCTGAGTCCACCATCTGGGCCATTATCTACAGCTTGGGGCTCTATGAAAATAATATAGACTAATAGAAACTGACTGAATCACAGTATAAAAGAAAATGCACGTGGTTCACTAATTATGCCCACACCAAGTAGTACAATGAATACAACGCAGAGGTGTTTTGTGTGCCATATTCCAGTGTCTCTACACCAAAGGAGTGGTGGAAGTTCTTAGTCAACTCTTGGGAGATGTTTCTGTTCTCAACTGTATTTCACTTACTCACTTACGATCTAGGCTTTACTGATCTTCCTCCAAGGAAAGCCATTCTTGCTACACACCAAGTTTGCCTAGGAAAACTCCTTCCTTACAAGTCATTAAAAGTTCTAAAAATCATGGGGCTCCTGGGTGGCTCAGCCCGTTGAGTGTCTGATTCTTGATTTTGGCTCAGGTCATGATCTCACAGTTGGTGGGATCAAGCCCCAAGTCAGGCTCTGCCCTGACAGCACAGAGCCTGCTTGGGATTCTCTCCCTCCCTTCTTTCCGCCTCTCTCAAATAAATAAACTTAAAAGAATTCTCAAAATCTGCATCTGCACTTGCTCAAAGTTCAGATTTTACTAAGGTATCTCCCTGGATGATGGCTATGGGGAGTTAGCTTTCCTTGAACACATTGTGCTGACCTGCTACCAGCTTCTTACTTCCAGGGAGCGGCAGCTTTTCCACACTCACACCTTGGTGGGTACCTCCGACCAGCATCTTCATGCTCTGCCCCTACTGAGGGCTTCAGCGAGATTTACATCCAGTTCAGTTCCTTTTGGAAAGAAACAACTTCCAGTTGAGTCCAAACTAAGCAAGATTTCCTTGGATTTGAAGGTAGATGCATATGGAAATTTGACAGATACTGCCAAAATGCCTCTCAGAGGAGTTCCCCAGAAATGTAGTTTGCCTGTTTGCCCACAGCCTTACCAGCAGAGACAGAAATTTCTTTTTCCTGTGGATGTCATGATGCCCTGTGACATCTTCACATAGTAATCGCCATTAGAAGAACTTCAGTCATCTCTCTTCAGATGCTGACTCTTCCTCTCATTTTCTTTTTCTATTTAATTCAAAGAATTGAATTGAAAACTTACTTTGAAACTAGTTCTCACAAGTATAAAATCACAGAACTTGCAACTCGGCTATGATATTTCTCATGACCTCTGTTCTTTTTCTCCTTGAAGATGAGTCAAGAGTTTTAAAATCAGAAGGAAAAGAAATTTTTAAGTGATCTAGCACCTATTTGTATAATAGACTTTGGAGTTTTGTTGTTAATCTATCTCCATATTCCAAAACATCTCTTTATTTCCATTCATAGAAAAGCATTGTCATTTATTGGGAGTCAAAAGGCTCCCTTACCACCCAGTACTGTCCTATTATTCATTTCTAGGACAGCTGAAGTTCAAAAGTTAATCACTAATGCAGATGTTAATCATAGGGGACACTGGGTTGGGGGTCAGGAAGAGTATATAGGATCTTTCTGTACTTCCTGCTCACATTTTCTGTAAATCTAAAACTGCTCTAAAAAAGAGTCTAAAATTTTTTAAAGTAAAAAACAGAATAGGTTGTGTAACAAAATGCTGTTTTTGTAAATGAGAAATGCATGCATAGAAAACAACAAAACACATTTTACCAAAGTAGATACAAAGTGAATACACTCATTCAATACATTAGAGTGGTGGTCTTTGTGCGCAGTGATAATGGAAGTGCAGTATCGTGAAAAAAATGAAATTAACAAACTCAGAGAGGGACATTGCATGGACCAATGATGATAGTATGCCATGAACTGAGTATGATCAAGTGTGTCCTATGAACTTGAAATCTAAATTAAAAAAAAAAAAGGTAGTGGTTCTCAACTTGAGCAGGGAGGTAGAGTTTAGAGAGATTTTATTTTTTTATTTTGGGAGGGGGTGCGAGCAGGAAAGAGGAGGAGAGGGAGAGAGAGAGAGACAGCAGGCTCCACACTCAGCATGGAGCCCAATCTGGGGCTCAATCCCACGACCTGGGATCATGACCTGAGCCTAAATCAAGAGGTGGAGACTCAATCAACTGAGCCACCCAGGCGTCCCTAGAGAAATTTTAAAAGAACACACATGCCTCAGTCCCATTTCAGACCCAACTGCATCAGAGGCTCCAGACTTGGAGCCCAAGTATGTGCATTTTGCAAAAGTTCCTATATTAGCCAGGACACTTTTACTTACAAAACCCCAACTCAAATATGTATAATGAATATAGGGGCTGTATTGGCTCATGTGGCTTGGAAGTCTGGGGAGTAGTGTAGCTTCAGGCACAGATGAATCCAGGAGCTCAAGCTATCCAATCATGCTCTCTCCCACTGCTGTCTGTTTCCAGCTCGATCTCCCCTATTGTGACAGGTTCTCTTTCCCTGTGGTAGGGAAGGTTTTTACTGACATTTATAGTCATGTTGAGGGAGGAAGGGGATGGAGTAAAATGGAACACTGTAACTGACAACGCCTCAAGGGCCACAGGAAGTGAAGTAGGAGTTCCCCAATAGAAGGGATAGGTGATTATCATATCTCCCCAGGAATATAATTCAGAATAACTCAAACATTCCCTTGTAGGATGACATGGATCTTCATGACTAAAAAAAAAAAGAAAGAAAGAAATATTTTCCAGGTTCCCCATCCTGGTCTCTTGCTCACTTGGGCTCAGCTGCCATGTTCAGTCTAGTCTTGAACATGCCATCATGTTCAGTCACACCTTCCCCTGTCCCAGAAATACAAAAGCATTTAGTCAAACTTGCTATGTGTCTGACTTACAGCTCTCCTGGATAAGCTTAGAATAAAAAATAAAGATATTTAGTGCAACTATGTGTTCAGCAATATAGATGATGAGTCTAAGAAGGAAAAAGACTGGATAAGTTATCATATCCAAGGTCACAGCAAGCAAAAGTGACAGTTTGAATTTGAGCTCAGATTTTATATCTCCAAACCTCATGCTGTGTCCAAAGTGCAACACTGAACAGGTAGTATTAATAATAAAAATGGGGAACACGGCTGGCTCAGTTGGAAGAGTATGTGACTCTTGATCTTGGTGTCATGAGTTCAAGCCCCATGTTGGGTGTAGATATTACTTAAATAAGTAAATAAATGTTAAATAATAATTATTCTTATTACAATAAAAATTGCTACTATTTATTGAGTTTTTGCTATGTTCCAGGCAGTGTTTTATAAACATTATCTCACTAACTCTCATAACAGGCTATGAAGAAGGTATCATCCCCATTTTATAGATGGAATTGTATAGCTCAGAGAAGAACTGAGCTCAGAGAAGTAATAATCCTGATTACATAGCTATTAAGTGTAGAGCCAGGACCTAAAACCTGAATGTTTTAAACCATTCAAAAAAAGGTTTATTTCAGAAGAACAAAACCTTAATAAATTAGCCAATAAATAACATCAAGCCTACTTCCAGGGGAAAAATAAAGTATCTAATTTTTGAAGATCATAACTAATTAGTTAAAGTTGACTTACTTGTTGGAAAACATAGACCTTAAAATATAATCATTCAAACATAATAGAAGCTTTATTTCTCTCTAACGAAATGGTTCAGAGGGGTGTTTCAGCTTGGAAGGGTTCAGCTCCATGAACTGCAGGTCATTCAGGGACTTGGCAGAACAGAGTTTCTGCCATCCTAAACATATGGCTTCTAAGGTCACTCTGCTTGTCACCATCCTGGCCCATAAGAAGGAGGAAAGGTGCACAATGTCTAGTCCCTTGAAAGCATAGTCCAGAAGGGCACAAATAGCTTCTGATGCATTCCAGTATCAAGAGCTCAGTCACATGAAACACTCCGCAGCAAAGGAGGCTGCACAATGTGGCTTGTGGTTGGACAGGCATGACCTACAGCCATGATAGTTAAGGCTGCTGTGGAAGAAAAAAGAACAAATTTTGGTGGTGGAGCTGTTGGTAGCTGTCTCTGCCACAACAATCTAGTAGACTTAGCCATTAACATAGACAGAGACCTATTTATCATAAAACTTATGAAACTTGGGGCACCGGGGTGGCCCAGTTGGTTGAGCGTCCAACTTCGGCACAGGTCATGACCTCACAGTTCGTGAGTTTCAGCCCCGTATTGGGCCCTGTGCTAACAACTCACAGCCTGGAGCCTGCTTCGGATTCGGTGTCTCCCTCTCTCTCTGTCACTCCCCCACTCACACTCGCTCGCTCTCTCTCTCTCTCAAAAATAAATAAACGTTAAAGTTAAAAAAAAAAAAACCTATGAAACTCAAACTTCTAGGCCTCTCACTAGCATGGCCTCTTCCAAGGCCCTTTTAGGGGCCTGTATTACTTAGCAATTTTTGGATAACAAATTACTCCAAAACTTATCAGCTTAAAACAATAACCTTATTATCTCACACAATTCCTGAGAGTCTGAAATCTGGGAGCTGCTTCTCTGAGTGGCTCTGGCTCAGAATATTAAGCTGTCAGCCAAAAATGCAGTTATTTAAAGGCTTGACCAGGGCTGGAGGATCCACTTCTGAAATGGTAATCACATAGCTGTGGGCTGGAGGCTTCAGTTTGTCACTGCATGGTCTAATCCACAGGGTTGTCTGATGGTTCTCAAGACATGGAAGCTGAGTTCCCCCAGAGTGAATGATCTGGGAGAGAGGGGTAAAAGTCATAATGCCCTTTATAACCTAGCCTCCAAACTGACATCAATGCTACCTAATTCTGTTGGTCTCACAGACCAACCTCAATGCAATATGAGAGAGGAGGTACACCAGGGCGTGAATACCAGAAGAGGGGGATAAGAAGGGGGAAATCTTCATATATGAGGCTGTGTATCAATAGGCTCTAGCAATACGTTCACCAATACGTTTTGTAGTATTGGCAAAAGATTTTTTTATGCTCTTTTTTTTTTAATGTTTATTTATTTTTGAGAGATAGGGAGAGAGAGAAAGAGAGCAAGCAGGGGAGGGGCAGAGAAGGAGGAGGACAGAGGATTCAGTGTGCCCCGCACTGACAGGAGAGAGCCCAATGTAGGGCTTGAACTCATGAACCATGAGATCATGACCTGAGCTGAAGTCGGATGCTTAACTGACTGAGCCACCCAGGCACCCCTGTTATTTTTCTTAATGAGTTCTCCCTAGTTGTATAAGCTTATGGCACCACAAAACATGAATCCTTTTTTTATACGACCTTGCTTGACAATTATTTAAAATTGTTAAAATTATTTTAGAACATGGTGAATTTATTCCACAAACCAAAACTGTAATAACTAAATTCTGAAGGAATGAAGTACTTTTTCAAGAGTGTTTGTTTTCATTGTTGTTAATATTATATAGTTTGTACACTGCTGATTTGTTATCAATGCCACACAAGAAGTTAGGATATCTGGGTATCAATCCAGATTCTACCTCTAACAAACTGAGTGATCTTCCTTCATATGCTGCAGCCTGCTCTCTGAACTGGCTTTGTCTCTACAATAAGCAGTTGCATTAACTAGTCTGTACAGGTGCTTCTAGCCAGGTCTTTAAAAGTATGTCTGTCTATGCTACAAATTTTTCATCCATAAAATGGGAATAACAGTATCTACTTCACAGAGGTATAGTGATGATCAAATGAGGTAGCCTACATAAACTATCCCAAATATGCCTAGCAAGCAGTGCATATTCAGTATATATTAGCCATTCTTATTATTTTATGCCTGAAAACTAACCAACCTCAGGAAGCCTATTTTGAATAATTTTATAGTATCGCAGTAATTCATAATGTCAGTTTTCATCTCAGATGATTGTGTAAATTTTTATAAGTGAGTGAAAGTTAATAGGAAGTAATATCAAGGTTGCAGAACAATGGGGAACTCTCATACATTTATTGATGAGAGTATAAGCTGGTATAATGACTTTGGTAAAACATTTAATAATATATCCACTTAAGCTAAACTTATACATATCTTATGGCCCAGCAAATCCTCTCCTGTCTAAACTCAACATATATTAGTGCCATGTCCACCAAAATTTATACATGAGAATATGCATCATAGCTTTATTGATAATATTCAAACTTGAAACAACCCAAATGTCTTTCAGCAATAGAATGGAAAAGTAAAGCATATTCATACAATGGAATGAAAATAACAATGAAAAGAACAAATCTCACCAATATGATATTGAGCAAAAGAAACCAAATACGTAAAAATCCATCTTCATGATCCCATTATATGGAGTACAAAATCAGGCAAGCAAAACTGGTAATGGAGGTCAAAAGAATGATTATCTTTGAAAAAATATTGATTGGAAGAGAGGGTAAGGGAGCCTTCTGGGGTGCTGGAAATGTTCTACATATTGATCTGAGTAGTGGTTTCACAAGGTGTGTACGTGTGTAAAAAACCAGTCAAGCTTTAGATTTAAGATTTGTACATCTCATTGTAAGTTGTACCTCAATGAAATATTTTTTAAGTTGGTAATGGTATAAAGAAATCCATTGCTGATATCATTGTAGGAGAAGATATAGGCTTATGCAATTTTGTTTCATTTTAGCTAAATTTTTGACAATTATGGTTCTAGGTAATAATTAATGAACAATTAATTATTACTCTCCTATCATATACTACCTTATTAATTGTTTCCATTTTTCACTCATTTCACAAATATTTAAGTGCCAGATGCTCTGCTAGGTGATGGGATCATTAACAATGAACAAAATAGACACAGCTCTTGCATCCACAGAACTGGTGTATCAGCAAGACAGAGAAATAAATCAGAAGTTACAACTGTGGAGTGAGAACGGAGTGCACAGGGATACAAACAAGGAGAACATTTCCCCAAAGCCATGCTGGGAAAATGAGAGGGGCTGATTTTCTTGAGTTTTGGAAACCAGCAGTGCTCAAAGACAGGAGTCTTAGAGGTCAGTGGCTGTCCTGGGATAGAGACCTGAGGGTGCTGCCCTACTCCTAGAGAGAAGGCAGGCAAGCACCCCAGGGCGATCTAAGGATTGCCTAAGGTGCATGGAAAGAGACCGTTCGCTCTTCTTAAAGTATATCTGCAAGAAGTGGTGTTCACAGAGATGCTTCTCTGGGGAAAAAGAGCCAGTGGGTGCCATTTCCTTCCCCTGCCTTTCAGCATAGGTGCAAAGACACCAGCTGAAGGCAGCTAACCTGGATACTGGCTGTTTAGCCCACTTACTCCAAATGCCACACCCCTGCACTCTGGCTTGACTGCCATTCTCCATCAAACCTACATCCATCCCGGTGTGTAAGACCATGCCCTAGAAGACCAGCACAGGCCCTGCCACAGCAGGTCCCTAAAGTTTGGAGTTTTAAAAGTCAGCAGGCCTGGCTGGGTTAGAGCCCAAAGTGCACTGTGCTGCTCCAGACAGGCAAGTAACCCAGAGACAGACAGTGTGAAATCAGCAATCTGAAACCTCCTGGAACACACAAGGAGAAATTATTTGCTCTTTTGGAAGGGATTCCCTGAAAGTAGCAAGCACAGAGACCCCTCTTTGGGGACAAAGAAATTCTGGTACCATTTCTCTCTCCCACCCCTCAGCATAAACTAGCTTCGGTAAACAGCACAGTGCCAACACTGGCTGTCTAACCTGCTTACACCAAGTCCTACCCCCTGCCCCCAAGCTCTGCTGGTACTGCTTTTCTCAGGCAAGTGTTCCTAAGACCCAGAACAGTGGGCCTCTCCCACAGAATACCAGCATAAACCCCTGCACACACCACATCTATCCACCAGAGATTTCTGCAAGGCTTCAGTTCTAGTGGAAGTAGCATCAAGTCTTTCATTTAACTAGGTATACACACCTCGGACAAAATGCCAGGATGGAGGAATTCAGCCCAAAAGAAAGAACAAGAAAAGCTCATGGCCAGAGACCTAATCAAAACAGATATAAGTAATATGCCTGGTGAAGAATTTATGGCAACAATCATAAGTATACTCGCTGGGATTGAGAAAAGCATGGAAAACGTCAGAAAGACCCTTACCACAGAGATAAAAGTTAAAAAAAACAAGCCGTCAGAAATGAAAAATACAATAACTGAGATTCAAAACTGACCAGATGTAATGACCACAAGGATGGAAGAAGCAGAGGAATGAATAAATTATATAGAAGAAAGAATAATGGAAAATGATGAAGCTGAACAAAAGAGAGAAAGAAGAATTATGGATCACAAGAATAAACTTAGGGAACTCAGTGACTTCATCAAACATAATAACATTCATATCATAGGAGTCTCAGAAGAAGAGAGAGGAAAGGGGGCAGGTTTATTTGAGGAAATAATAGGTGAAAACTTCTGGGGAAGGAAACAGACATCCAAATCTAGGAGGCACAGAGAACTCCCATCAAAATCAACAAAAGCAAGCCAACACCAAGTCATATTATAGTTAAATTTGCAAAACATAGTGATAAAGAAAAAAGTCCTAAAAGCAGCAAGACAAAAGAAGTCCCTAACGTACAAGGGAATACCCATAAAGCTAGCTGCAGATCTCTCTACAGAAACTTGGCAAGCCAGAAGGGAGTGGCATGATATATTCAATGTGCTGAATGGGAAAAATCTGCAGCCAAGAATACTCTATCCAGCAAAGCTATCTTTCTGAATAGACGGAGAGATAAAGAGTTTTCCAGACAAACAAAAGCTAAAGGAGTTCATGACCACTAAACCAGGCCTGCAAAAAACATTAAAGGGGACAGACTGAGTGGGAAAGAAAGACCAAAAGTGACAAAGACTAGAAAAGAACAGAGAAAATCTCCAGAAAAAAACAAAAAAACAAGTCATAAAATGGCACTAAAAACATACCTATCATTAGTTACTCTGAATGTGAGTAGACTAAATGCTCCAATCAAAAGACATAGGGTGTCAGAATGGGTTAAAAAAAAAAAAAAAAGACACATCTAATCTGTTGCCCACAAGAGACTGA